TCTTTAAGGTCCCTTCCAACCCAAACCATTCTGTGATTCTGTGGTATCTGTTTAGTGTCCCATTAAATGGGCAGAACCACAGTGTATAAAAAGCTAATGTGTGGGTTACCTCAGCCCCTTTTTTAAGGGTGAGAGCCCTAGCGAGAGCCTTGAACGGGGAGAGAGAGCTGTCAACTTGAGAAGTGTCATGCAAGAAGTCTGCAGACCTTGAGACAAGAAGCTGGGGTGCCAAAGAAGAAGCAGGCATAGAAAGCATCTGGTGCAAAAATAATTGAGGAAAACGTCCACTGGGGTAGCAACAACGGCTGAAAACCTCTCTGCTCGGGGAATCAAGTGCTGTAAAGCCCTTGATACGTGTCCGCACGCGCAGGGGCGTTTATTAATTTTAAATTCGGCATTCTTCCAGGGAGGTGGAGTAGGTCGGATCTGAACATCATGTTAGCGTAGCTACCACATAACCACAGAGTGATTATATGCAGGTGCTTTATTCAGCGCTGGGTAGCCGGGGTACGCACCCAAATCTGGCTACAAATCTCGTCACATCCCGAACGCAACTTATACTATCAAAAATTACATATGTATTAGATTGCGACATCAGCCTCGCTTCGTATGATAATGAGCTCCGCTTCTCATGGTAATTAGGTCTCCTCCCATCTGAGCATGCGTAGTTCCCTCTGGTGGTGGTCTCGGGGGTCTTCAGGTGGTCGTCTGGTGGTCGTTTAGGTGAATGAACGGCCTTAAACTTTTTACCTTTCTTAGTTCACACATGCGCATTACCTATTTCATTACCTCACTACTTCTATGTTTATAGTTCTCCTCAGTTACAGTACGTTATGAGTTGATCTAATCACACAACATTACCCTTTAACAAAGTCTCCTATGATCTATTTAACATAATTTTAATATCTAACCAATTCTACTGATTTTCTTTGATCTTCCCCCAACAATCAGGCTCCAGCTTGATGGAAATAAGGTGCTTCTCCAGACGTGTCTTCCCATGGCCTTGCAATAGTCTGTGGGCTGGAAGGGGTTTCAGTTGCTCTACATGCCTTTCTAGGCTGCCCACGGCCATAAAGCCATTGCTAAGTCCGTTTTAGCTTTCAGAATGGAAGCAAACCGTCTCTCTCTCTCTTCCCCTCTCTTGCTGTGTTAGCTCCAGACCTCCAGAACCCCAGAAACCTCCTGTCAGACCATACCTAGAGCACGGCGGCAGTTACGGCAGCGATGCGGAGGAGGAGGAGGAGTACCGGCGGCAGCTATCAGACCACTCTAAGAAGGGGTATTACGGACAGCCATCCAGATACAGAGACACGGAATTGTAGGCTCGCTAGTATGTGCACGTCTAATGCTCTTTCGAGGTTTCTTCCCTCACAGCCAAAGTGGAGCAGTAGTTAGTCCTGAAAAGCTGTATTTTTATGGGGGTGGTGTTAGAGGGTACGCTACTCAACTTAGACATATCTATATGCCGAACTGGAAGAGTTCATGTTTTTGGGGATATTATTTTGTTAGCATCTATGAAAAGAAATCACCATTGCCTGAATGCTGTTGCCTGTTTTCTAAGGACCAAATCCTGCAAGTCTGTGTTAATCCTTGATGTTTTCATATTTTAACGTAGAACCCCTTTCTTCCCTATTATTAATGCTGCCTTTTCGGACTGTTCTGCTGTGTTACGAAAGTATGAACCCAGAGAGACACTTATTAATGCAATAGAACTAAATTTGAAAGTATGTTTGGAGAACAGCAAGTGCCTTTAACAAGAAGCATCTTAAACTGTTTGCTGTGACACCTGGTAACCTGGTGCAGAGCCATAACACATTAAAAGGGGATTGAGTGTTTTACCTGTCTTTTTGTTTGTTTGTGCGTATGGTAACAATTTCCTTTGCATGTCATTTTTCTGAGTTCACAGAGGCATACGCAGTATTTTGTAAGTCCTGACTGTACATAATAAAGGTGCAATTGAACGGGGTTGTTGGAAAAGACCAGGATGTTCTTAAACAGGGAAAATGATATCGAAATTCAATCATATTAAAATTTACGCAGACTGCAAATAATAAAGGATATATTCTAGACAAACCTGGTGCATCCGAGTTTTCCCTTGAGCGGTGTTAGTCCTCCAGAGTCTCTGACTTGCGTGAGCGTACTTGGAGCAGCACTCTTCTGGGACTTGGGCTGTTCAGGGAACTGGCACGCGTCACCGTTGATGTTGCCTCCCAGCCTCCTGAGCAGGGTTGTGAAATC